AAAAATACGGGGAGTACTAGGTGTAGGGGCGGGGATGTTGCCCAGACATCGGCGAGATGTGAATAAAAATCACGACTGAATAACAATAACGCCGATATATTTGACTTATACCGCAAGATTTATGAATGACAAAATATGTTTTAATTTCACAGCACAAGGCCATTCGCTTTAATTTCGTCTACTGAATTTATCGGAAATTTATTTTAGTTTAAAAAATAATACATGTAGTTTGTTAAAGAAAACAGCAGCGCAGCGTCTTAATAAAAATGAAATGACTTAAAACCGAAACAAAATACAACCATTTCATCAGTTCAGATGCTCCACATAAAAATAAAATTGCCACAGATAAGTGTCAGTTTATTTTTCTAAATTTTTATTTTTTTTATTATTATAATTATATAATTTTTAATTTTCATTAGTTTGCCGGCGACGTATAGAAGCCATAAAATGATATAGTTTGTCAGATTAATCTGAAAAGAAAAAAAATTAAAAAAAACAATCTTAGTACCGTCTTGAAAACACGGGCGGGATTCGAACCCGTGCCCGGGCGCTCCAAAGGCTACGCCTTTGGAGCGCCCGGGCACGGGTTCGAATCCCGCTATGCGACTTAGCCCACTCGGCCATCTGACTAAGAGGTTTAGGTACAGTAGTCAGAAGATTATCTGGCTTTCAGAACGAAGGGTGGTAAAAATAAATATAGGCCCGGCCATGGGAATTGCCTGTACCCGATTAATTTCTCAGCGATACGAAATTTATTTCCTTAATATTTTTTAACTCCGGCAGCAGAATAAATTTAAATTTAATACAATAATTTTTAATTCCTTAAATTTCGTAAACACTAAATAAAAAAGAGCGATTGCAGAAAAAGGGTCTTCTGACTTCTTAAATTATTTATACCTAAAACCTGTTCTGAAATGAGTACTTGGAGGAAATTAAGGATTTAGACCTAAATAAATTGAATGTTTCAGATGTTCGAAAGTTTACACAAAATACGATATCACTGAATAAGAAACATTTTTGTCCTCATAATAATTATATGACTTACATTTAATGGAAAATGTATACCTCATCATGATATGCTTGATTTTGTTTTATTCATATTTATTAGGGACTTTCAATTAACAATAATTTAGATTGTTTAACATGTTTATGTTGAGATTTTTTCCATCAATACCTAATTTTCTTAGCGGATATACTAAATGCGCAACAGACAAAACATTAATTCCTTTCGTCACAAAGCAATAAAAGGAGGATTCGATGTGTTACGATGTAATATGGGCCGAGAAAGACATCGATATCAGCAACAAATATCTAAACATGGCAGAATGCTCTGTGATCTACGCGTGATTGCAAGATACAGTATTATCTCAAACCACCTCTGCGTGTGCACGCCGTTGAACTGACAGCATTAAATGAATGGACGAACGATGGGTGTAGGCCTCCGTGTACAAAGGTTTAAATTTGCATTCAAAATCCTTTATAACAGCATTCCTGCCTCGCTAACCACCCTTTTTCATCAATGTAGAAAACACTCAATTGCCCTATTGATTGTAGAAATACTTCAATGTCTGAAACATTTTCACCAGAACGCACTCACAGAAAAAAAGAGGCACGCTTTCTGCTGTTTATCCTCCGTATTCTATACCCGATTATTTCTATTCATGCCCGACAATAGATGCTAGAGTAGCCGTAAGTATACAGTGAAAGGAAACTCATTTAGCAACGCTTGATGAAAGCATGAATCATGTACATGTACTATTATGCTTAATCATTTGACTAGGACAACGGGTACTGACCATCGTGAGGGATTTTTTTTTGGGGGGGGGGGGCGGGAGGGGGAAGCAGAACCACACAAATATATACATAAAACAGACTGTATTCTTTTTATTGCAATTTATTAGAATCTCATTCACATGTTATTCGTTTTGGAAAGCACTGTTATTAAATAATACCTTCAAATGGCAATCAAAAATAACAAGATGTAATACGACTCAAGAGGGCGCTATGCGCTACCACTGATCATTCTACATGTACATGTATTTAAAGGGAATATACAACATTTGCAAACATCGAAAAATAAAACTACCAAGTTTTTGCGAAATACCTTAACAGGATGTTGGTAAATGACAGTCTAAAGCATCCTGTAAAATTATGGCACCTGGTATACTGTCATTTTCAAGAAAAGAGGTATTTTTGTATCAATTTCCAACGCTGATCGGCCGATCAGCGTTGGAAACAACTGGCTTTTTTTCAAATACTGGCCCCAATTGACCATTGCACTTGTTTGCAATCGATTACAAACCTATGAACGGTTACGAGCCAGCTAGACTGGTTCCCTGACCTTACAATTCCCCAATGTATGTAAACTGCTCTGTTTCTTCTTATATGGAGTCAGGGAACCAGACTACAGGAAAATGATCGTTTTTCTTGGTTTTTATAGCATTTTCGAACCCAAAACCTCCAAAAAGTCAGTGTAACTATATTTGCTTTATATTTCCAACCCCCCAATTCCATCCATTTCTGAAAATTACAGCAAAAGCAAATGATATATATTCCCTTTAAATGACCTAAACATGCAACAGAATCTTGGCTCCAAATTCTTGATACATGTACATGTATGTTTTATTGTATTTGAAAATAAAGTCACGATGCAAAAGGTGCCAACACAAGCCCTATACATGCTAATTGCCACATTCCATTATGTTTCGTACCAAACATGCAAAAACAGTTCATCAGAAGAAGCAAGTAAATCATCTCTCATCTTCCAAATATGCGACTCGGGTTTGAATCCTAACCAGAATGACAAGCAGATTAAATGTTCAATCCTACCTAATTTTTTTTCCCAAGAATATTTTTCTGGGGTTTCCTCAATACTGAAATATTAAGCATTTCTTATCCTTACTTCACAGAATTCTTTCAACAACAAAGTACAGGGGGTATCAGGTTTTATCACTAGAATGAACTTAAAATTTGTCAGACCTCTGACCCCTGAAGCATCAGTATAAATGAGGTATATGTAGTTTTAATTTGAAGAACAGCAGGGAAGAAATATATAAGGTCTTTGATGGGAAATATTCTATGTGTACATGCAGAGTCCCTAGAAAATATGCAACCTAATTATATAAACCCCAGGCTAACCTGTTGGACTGCTGAGGACCAATAAAAAAAAATGAAACATAGCTTCATTTAAACAAAAGTGTCCTTTCAATCAGCTGATCTTACCCATTTTTGTAGCCATGACAACTGATACAAACTATACATACTTCACACTGTCTGGTAGCAGTCCACTGTCCAAGCATCCAATTCCAAACCCGAAGAAAGCAAAATCAAAACACAAACCTGCAAAGAAAAGGGAAGGAAAGATATATTTACAGTCTACGCAGAGAGCATATACTAAAATCATCTACAATTTAATACGCAATTTTTGTTAAAAACTTTTTTTAACCCTTAATTCACATGTATTCACGGTATTGGAATTTAGAGCCTTGAAACAATGAGCTAGCGAGAACTATTATCAAAAAATATACCAGTGGCAGTACTGTCCTAATCAAGCACCAATTTGTGAATTGCACCAGTGTGAATAGAATTCAAGGGAACAACTGATGGTTCTCAAAATATTGGCACCATGCAACTCTATTTTCCAGCTAAAGAGTGAAGTTGGCCTAAACAAAAATAACTAGCATGGTGCATAGTCTAGAGCAAGGAACAGCCTACAGATGCATGGTGGCAGATCAGGGCATTTTTACTGACGTCACCTAGGGGCCTATAATAGTTGCCATCATCACCAAAGGAATACCGAGTTTAAGTATTACCACATAATTATGAGTAATTACTAGCGGTACCAGGTACGGTCAATAGCACGGTGCAGCATGAAAATTGAAATGGTCAACTGTCACTGTCCTGACTGTGTAAAAATATGCACGGTTCTGTAGTCTGGTAGTGCACAACAGTCACTGACTGACTGTGTGGATGGCGTGCTTAGGGAATTTCAGATTTAAAATCACTACTTTGTACTTAGTTACAATTACATTAACAAAACGCTACATTTTGATAAATATTGAATATCCTTAACATACCTTGAAGTGCAATGTTACCCAAACCGTCCACGCCTCTAGGGAATGTCACAAATGCAGGGACAACACGGCATAAACACATAATTTAATGCACATCACGTCGAATATTTAGATCTGGCGGGTGTTTGGAAATAATAGTCAACATTAACAACGCCCTCAAGAGTTCGCGCGTCAACCAGCTGGCTGGCTTAATGACCCGTAAGGGAGGTGGGGCATCGGAAAAAATAAGGGGGAGGTTTCCAAGCACGCACACACGTACACTAGCATATATATCTACAAGTTAGTTGCATTTTCAGCACTGTTCGGGTGACTTAGAAATCTGACCTATACCAGTGCTGTCCCAACTTATGAATTATTAAATACGGGGAACAAGTGGGACGTTCAGGGGCGATCGACGATGTGGGTGGGTGGGTGGGTGGGTGGGGTGGGGGTTTGGGGGGGGGGGGGGAGGAGTAACCGCCCAATAATGGTTATCAACCGGCACAAAAATCTTGAACCTCCAATCGTTGAAGTTGTGGCGACTGGAGTCGCTATATATTTAAGCAAACAAGCCAAGCAATTCTCCTCAAGAAATTATTAATTATCACGATCATCGCCAGAAGGGTGTGTCGAGGTCCCAACCATGACCCAACATCTTTAATTATTAATTATCATTATGTATTAAAAAAAATAATGGTCTTTTTAGAATACTTTAATGTCGAACATTATGTATCAATGTTTTTTTTCAATGATTTCTGTTAATTGTAAATTGTAAACCATCGCAATTCAGTCTTCGGACAGCGAGAATGGTATGAACAATAAAAATACCTTCAATTCAATTCAATACGCTACATACCCATGCCATTTTCCAAAATTTTGATTTGTTTTGTAACCAAAACCTGGCATTTTATCTGCCTTACCTAGTCAGACTCATTAATAGACACCTAATGTAATGTAATAAAATGGTTATGTCTGGATGTAAAACACAATGCATTCTTTTTATTACTATGTGATTGAAAGGCGTGTAGATGTACAAAACACGGTTCTTTTTTTTTATCTAGTCTGGGTAGCATTTTAACATTTTTTAATCCACATGTTTGTATATGAGTCTTTTTAGAATATGTCTATGTTTTAACATTATGCATAAAAAAAATAATGGTCTTTTTAGAATACTTTAATCTCGAACATATGTATACATGTTTTTTTTTCAATGATTTCTGTTAATTGTAAATTGTAAACCATCACAATTCAGTCCTCGGACTGCGAGAATGGTACGAACAATAAAAAAAACCCTTCAATTCAAAATTCAATTCAATTCAAATTAATTGTTTTTGTCTTCCAAGTTATTCAATATCATGAAAAACGCAATATCAAATGGTGTCATCAAGTGCCGTCCGCATTGAAAAGCGCCCTCTGTTGTCACAAATTGTCCACCCCCCCACGCTGTTAACTTTTGAGTAGTCGATTAAAAATCCTCATTTTGTGTACATAAAACAAAAATTACAATATTTTTTTTTTGCAAAACCCATGACAAAACTGTCAGGCATTCCTTTAACCTTAGATTCTCTAATAATATATGGTGGAAAAATGAAAGAGTAAACATAAAAGCGCAAGAGAAAACTTAAACTGTAGTCGAAGTTTTGATTGGGGGGGGGGGGGAATGACGCAAAAGGTAGAAAACTTGAAGGACCGGTGTGTTTGCTATTCCCACGTGTCTCAAATGTCTCCCATTACTCCAAAAACTTATAAGCGACTTTCAATAAGCAGTATAGAGCCTATGGTAATTAAATTAATGACTTTTCAATATTGCCTTTTTTTTTACCCTTCACCCCGACGTATTTTTTTATTAACACTGTATACACAGTGCTGTCCCAAATGATTGTGGCAACAAAATCACTTGAGTGGGACTCGAACCCATCGACGACCTCCTGCTATAGTGCAGACGACTCAACCGCCGACCTTGCTGGGGTCGGTGATGTAAATTCGATTCAATCTTATTTCAAACCACATGTATATAGAAGGTTAATATTTCAATTCTACAAAGACTTGGTAGTTTTGTATCATTTTGTTATCCTTCATCAACCCTTCGTCTAGTACTTGATGTAGCCCAGTGTTCTATCATTTTATTCCATTAAATTTCTGACGGCAGAAAACAAAATTACGGACTATCCAAACATTGTCCTCTACCCTTGAACGAGGCTCAGCCTGAGGTGGGTGTTCTAAATTTAGGTTCTTGTGCAGTTTGAGCCGAATTAGTGGGGCTAGGGTCTCGGTGGTTGGGTACGTTTCAGTTTCCGGAGCTCCTCGCTAAGCTCACCAACCTGTCGTATAAGCTGGACCTTGTCTTCGTTGAGTGCGCTTCTGTCCTTCCGGAGTCCTTGGATAAGATCCTGTAACTGTGCTTCTTGTTTGTCTCTCGTTATGTCTTTGGACGAGTATTCCTTCTTGAGTTGGTCCAACTGTTGCAAGAGGTTGGCCTTGTCGTCGTTGAGTTCCCGAAGCCTGTTTGTAAGGTCAGTGTTGTCTTGTCTTAAGTCTCCGATGACACCTTGCAGCGATGCTTCCTGCTGGTCTCTTGTGGACTCCTTTGCCAAGTGTTCCTGTTTGAGTTCATCGATCTCTTGTTTGAAGTCAGCTTTCTCTTCCATGAGTCCCCGCATAGTGTCTTTGAGGACGAGCCTGTCTTGTCGGAATCCGCGGATATGATCTTGCAACTCTGCCTCCTGCTTGTCTCTCCTCGCTTCCTTTGCCAAGTGGTCCCGCTTGAGTTCACCTATTTGTTGTGAGAGATCTGCTTTGTCTTCCTTGAGACCCTGGATTTTCCCCATGAGGTCTGCCTTGGCTTGTTGGAGTTCTCGTATAGCGTCCTTTAACTCTTTCTTCTGCTGGTTTCTCGTCAACTCCTTGGCTGAGTGGTCCTTCTTCAGCTCGTTGAGCTCTCGTAAGAGCTCAGTTTTGTCTTCCTCTAGTCCCTGAAGTGTGTCTCTGAGGACATTCTTGTCTTGTCGAAGACCTTCTAAGACATCCTTCAACTCTTCCTCCTGCTTGTCTCTCATAAACTCCTTCGATGCGTGGTCCCTTTCTAGTTCGTCAATTTGATGTAATAGCTCAGCCTGGTCTTCCTCCAGTACCTGAAGTGTGTCTGTAAGAACTTTCTTGTCTTCCTCAAACCCTTTGATGACATCCTGTAACTCTGCCTCTTTCTGATCTCTCGTCATCTCCTTAGCCATGTGCTCATTCTTGAGTTCGTCCATCTTGCGTAAGATTTCTTCTTTGTCGTCACTGACTCCCTGAAGTGTGTCAGCGACGATAGTTTTGTCTCTTTGGAGGTCTTGGATTATGTCCTGCAAATCCGCCTCCTTCAGCTCTCTAACCAATTCCTTCGCTGAATGGTCCCTCTTTAGTTCTTCGATTTGTTTCAAGAGATCTGCTTTGTCTTCCTCCAGTCCCTGAAGTGTGGTTATCAGGGAGTCCCTCTCTACTCTGATTCCTCTTATGACATCCTGCAGCTCTTCCTCCTGCTGGTCTCTGGCCTTCTCTTTTGCTGAGTGGTCCTTTCCAAGTTCGTCAATTTCTCGTAGGAGCTCAGCTTGGTCTTCCTTGAGTCTCTGGAGTGTCTCTGTGAGGTCCGTCTTGTCTTGTTCCAGTCCATGGATGATGTCCAGCAACTCGTCCTCGTGCTGGTCTCTCGACATCTCCTTTGCCAAGTGCTCAGTCTTGAGTTCGTCCATCTGTCTTACGATATCGTCCTTATCATCACTTACTCCCTGAAGTGTGTCTTTGACGACAGTCTTGTCTCTTTTGAGATCTTGGATTATGTCCCGCAATTCAGCTTCAGTCTTCTCTCTCATCATCTCCTTCGCCGAATGGTCCCTCTTCAGCTCGTCTATCTGCTTCAGGAGGTCAGCTTTGTCTGCCTCCAGTCCCTGAAGTATTTTATTCAGGGAGTCTCTCTCTTCTCCGAGTCTTCGAATGACCTCCTGTAGCTCTTCCTCTTTCTCTGAGTGGTCGCTCTTGAGTTTGTCAAATTGTTGTAAGAGCTCAGCATGGTCTTTCTTGCGTCTCTGAAGTGTATCTGAGAGTGCAGCCTTGTCTTGTTGGAGTCCTTGGATGATTTCCTTTAACTCTTTTTCCTGCTGGTCACTCCTCATCTCCTTCGACGAGAGGTATCTTTTGAGTTGGTCATTCTCTTGTAAGAGATCGTCTTTGTCTTTACCGAGACTTTGCAGTTTGTCTGCGAGGGCAGTCTTGTCTTGTTCAAGTTCTCGGATCATTGCCTGCATTGCCTTTACCGATGCATCCCTCTTGAGTATTTCATTCTCAGCTCGGAGTGCAGCTACGATTTGTTCTAACTCCGAGGAGTGCTTCTCCCTGTGATTCAGTTCATCGGTCTGCTCCTTGTGAAGATCATCTGTTTGTTGATGAAGGATACCCAGAGTGTCTGTCAGCATAGACGATTCGTCGACAAGATTCATCGCCCTCTCTTTCACTGGATCCAGATCGTACAGTCTCGTGTTGATATGGTTTGACTTGTCGTTCGAAATGCCGATTGTCCGAATTATTGAGGCAAGTCGGTCCTGAACACCGAACCTAAATTGAAAAACCAAAGCATAACCATTTTGAAGATTTATTATTAACCATTATTAAGATTTATTTAAAAACGAACAGGATAATATTAATCCAGAAGGAAAGTTGCCTCTTTACCGTAAACGTCGATGGTTGGTAAGAGATCTTGAATAACCATGGGGATTGCAAAATAAAATAAAAGGGTACTGTTGTTTCGAGAAGAGGGCACAATTTTGTCAAAATGCTCTGACCGATTTCCAGAGCAATAGGATAGTCTAAGAACCCTTAGCAATTCAAAGCTTAATATTATTTAAACCTCAATTATATTTCTTCAAGACTTACTTAAAGGCAAGGATGTCATTCCTGAGTGTCTGCAAGTCTCGTGGCCGCACACCCTCCGAGTTCTGGGACTCAACCGACAGATGGGCCTGGATGTACCGACTGCGGACCAGCTTCAACACTCGCTGTGATTTTGAGGGTGACAAGTATACAAAAAAGAGATCAAGGATCAAGGAAAAACCCAGGATTGAACAAATAGTACAGCAGATTGGTGATAAGATTGTTCAGTTTGATGAAGAAGGCATGACATTTGACACACAGTCAGAGTATATCATGGGAAAGATATTTGGCTTGAGGGCCATCGCCGATTTGTCCGTTGGAAAAAAATATCATAGAATAACAAGACATTTTCAAACTTTTCAAAATGGCGGCCATTGCATGTTGTTCTATGCTATATTGTTAGGACAAGTCTGCGATGACTCATAGCAAAATATCTTGTCGATGACATACCGGTACTCTGACTGTGTGCCAAATTTCATGCTATTATCATCAAATGAACAATTCCATCCTATTGTGCACCAATCTGCCTGACTAAAACAGGACCGAGTAGTGCTGCCAAGCTAACAAATAAAGTGATGCAACCGACCTCAGCAGAATAAAATTCAGAAAAAGGTCTTGTTTAATTTGAAGATCCATTTTGATCACAAACTGATAAATTGGTAGCTTGTAATGATTACCTTGTAATCCTGAAGTTCGCTGTCCTGGTGCATTCTTTTCTGTAACGAAAAGGGCTACAAACGGTAAATGCAAATTAATGGATAAAATTGATGTGCACGACGAAATACCCTAATGTTGTAGGATTGTAACCCAACATTAGTATTTTTTTTGACTGTACGAACCCTGAATCTGAAATGTCGACAATAATTCGGAAATTTTATAATCGAGAATTCGGACCTCCCACGCTCCCATTCAGAAACGAGATGGTTTTGTTACTATGATGAAGACGTAGTTATGCACAGAGTTAGTAGGTTAATAAAAATAGTGATGACACTTACCCAACCACTGTCGCGTCGTCTGCCACATGTTGAGCATTTGCAGACGTATTTAAAGAGATGGCACAGCGTCTTGACTGACGGGATTAAGTTGAAGGGTGGCGGGAGGGTTCCCACGGGGCGCAGGTAGGATGCCCATACTGCAGCACGGTGAAACTTCCACTCCGTGTCGGCGTTTTCCTGCCGTCAGATAAAATAAAATTTAGTTTAAAAGAAGTTGTTGTCCAGATGGCTAACAGTTGAGAACATACTCCACCTGTGTTATTACTGTGTTACGGTTGAAGTCCTAAAGCAGTGTGTAGAGACACAGGTTTTTTTTAAGGATGCTCAATAGGGGAGTCAGGTTGGCGCCGTGGTTACTGTCTTCACCTTCTGGTCCACATGTGGATTGGGTTTTCAGTCTCTAACTGATTCCGTGGGGTTTTCCCCAGAATGTTCTTTGGTTTTCCTCCCACCTCTAAAACTGATATTTCTTTTCAATGTCTTTTCTCTATACAGGTTTCTTCAGGCTTTCGAACAATAGTGCCTAAGGCACTTTTAGAGAATCCTTGGTTTCATTCCCAGAAATAAATAAAATAAATACTACAAAGTTTCACAGATGATCGGTGCTCTTGAAATTCTTTACTTTTGATCAGATGCATCTTACCTCCGTAAGATTGTAGGTGTTGGACAGCATACCGATGAGGGCGTTCAGTAGGACCACAACGGCAAAGATCAAGTAGCAGACAAACAGAAAGGTTCCCACGGTCTCAGCAACCGAGTGCTTCCCAGTCAACTCAAGTCCCCTGGGCCCCACGAAACCATACAGGGCCCAGTACAGATCTTTCACGCTGACGAAGAATCTGTGACAAATCAAGATTATTATTCAGTCAAACTAACCGTTATGTTCAAAAGACTGAGAAAGGTAGATATACTGTATTAGTCAGAGTTTTGAACCCCTAGGAAATCATCTCATTGTGATCGTCAATCACAAGTCAATCACTTGTCAAAAGGCATGTCAAAATCCCCATCAAATCACAAGCTATTCAAGTTGCGATAATGGTTTTCTTTTGCCACTAGTTATTCGCTGGTAAGGGTACAGTAACCGTTATGAGAAAGAAGTTTGACTTGACTTTTGATTAACTTGTGATTTCACTTGTGGGGATTTTGACTATAACTCCATAAAGCATCTATCTCTAAGAGATCAAGAACTTCTTAGTGGGATTATATGAATGTAAGACATACAACTGCCAGGAACTCTATAGCTTTCTGTTCCCGAGTCAACAAGTACCTCCCTTTCACTGAAAGAAGCATCATTCAGTTAGAAAAATGGTTTATCTAGTTGTTAAGACCATCCTCCTATCTCCTGTTCAGGGATCCTTTATGGAAGCCCTCAAGCCTGTTATCAATAGAGAGTGCTAACTATACTTACGTTGAAAACCCCACAAGTAACTGGCAGCTTCCCGGCTCCTCCCCCTGCTGGATGCAAGCTCGCATAACCGACTGACCGGCAGAGTAGAAGTTCTGGAACAGACCGATGGCGAAGGCAAACCAAATGATCAAGAAGATGCCGCAGAACTTCAGGATGTCACCCATCATTTCACCCAGGGAGATACGCAAGTGGCCAACAGTGTCGCTGACTAGGAGGAGATTCAACAGGCGTAAGACTGACACCGTGATGGCGACGCCAAACAGTGTTCTGGCAACAACCAGCGGCTCGTACTGATCGTGCTCGATCGTCTCCTGCAACGAGAGCGGCAATATATCCAATCCTTGTATCGTAGAGTTCCGGAGTCGACAGTCATTAGATAGCACCTCCATGATGTCATCATTCACTCCTGCAAGGGTGGTATCATTTAACCTTCCCCTTAGAGAGTCAGTAGCCTCCATAACCTGATTTCGCAGGTTGGGGAGTGTGTTGTTGAGTGTTTTGTCGAGTTTAATGACATCGGGAGAGGTCTGGAAACAGATACCAAGAAAAGAGCGCTTTAAGAACATGATTACGATAGTAAGACAAGATAAAAACTACATAACAAAGAAAAGTATTATCATGCAGGCATTCAACTGGGAAGTAACAAAACAAAGACGGGAATTCCAAGCTTTACATGACTGTAGACAACGTTTTTCATTTGTTTTTAATGCCATAAGTGTAAAGTGACAAACGAGGAATTCAGCTGATTCGAGGAAAGATTATCTTTAACTTGCTTTAGTTCAAACCACAATTACCAATCATTGTAGCATGAAAGAGAGTGTAGCTCTTATATTCAGTCATATGTTTTAGGTAAGGGGAAATCAGATTGAGTTTGGAGCTTTTTTGTCACAGAGGATACCCCAGGGTTTGTATGACTTTAATATGCACTTTTTACTTGCTTGCCCTTAAATATGCACTTTGTAACTCATTGGACCACAACAACGTTAATTGTTCCTCGTTATGGGTAGTCAGTCATCAAAAACCTATCCATTTGCGTTGTTCACACAACGCATCGTTGATCCTTAGAAAAAAAATATTAACTCTGCCTTGCGTACAAGGACAACGACAGTTAACCTATACCAGGAAAAAAAAACATGTTGACACACATCATTCATTTAAAAAAAGTACGTAGACCCCACAGGTATGTGACATGGATGGGGGTTTCTAAAAACAACACAAAAGAGTCCTATTGGTGAAAAAAAAAGTGCAGAGAAAAGCTGTCATGCATTAGCAAGTAAAGCTTTTTTTCTGTTTTATAATTTCAGAAATCTTACTTCGACTCTGCCAGTCCAGTGCAGGCAGAATACCACGACACACAATGCTATGATGACAATCTCGTGGAGGTTCATGTTATCGGATAGGTACTTATTGCGTCCGTACCTCCGAAAGATCTTAAAATGCGACCATGCCAAACCTGAAATAAAACCAGTGGTACACTGATGTTAATAATTCATTCAGGCAAAAGCACGGTATTGCCCCTTCTCTAGTGTTGAAGCGAAGAGCAGTAAAACTACTTATACATAAGTCCTCAAAATTCATCCGAAGTCATCCAATGCATTTAGTATGTCCACTTCCCCAATGTTGAAGAAGAGTCCATCACAAGTACCCTCAAAGGTCCTCAAAAGTTCACCACAAGTCATTCAGTCCCTAGTCAATTGGAATGTGATAACGTCATTGCTTTATTTCTGTTGATCAATTGACAGGAATTGGGAATTTCACTTGTGACGGACTCGACTAAAATACAGTTTTTGAACATTTATTTCATGTTGGTAAAGATACATATTCACTGACAACCAGAAGGTCATAATAGTTGAATGATTAAGTTACATTTATCCTGCGTAAAATCTGCTATAGTTACCGATAAACCTCGATCCGCTCTTAATATCAGCATTTTAAGCGAAAAGTTCAACCACGTACCAACTATCCAAATCAAGATGAACCAATAAAGCACCTCCACACTCCGTGGGTAGCTGTGTCGATCTAACGCGTTGATCACTACGATAAAAACGAGGAACGTAAAGCCAGAGCCAGCCTTCATCATCATCATGACGTATCTGCCAAATAAGATTTAAATTGTCACGACACTTCAAGACAAAGTAACAAATACCTCGGGGTTCAAACTAAAAATCATCTAAACGTTGAATGCAAAGGGCCAGGGGTACATTATTTGTATACACGCGGTTATCGTCAGTGGGCTGCGCTCTATAAAATTTTACTCCGGTGATGATCACAAGACAAGAGCCAATAATTATGTGATACGCTCGCGCACGTCGCATGTCCATCTCCGAAGTTAGTGCTTTTGTTCAGGAGATTTAAAACAGAAAATTCGACACATGGCTGCCAGGAAACATGTTGTAGCATTGACGTTACACGTGACATAACATGACGTAACACTTACGGAAGCCTTGCAAAGGTAACGACTCTGCGCACGGGAACAAATAAGTACAGAAGGCATATGATTGGATAGCCCAAGACGACCAGAAACGTCAGTAGAACTTGATACCAAATCCCTCGCTCGTTCCAGTCAAGAAGATTTCTGTAGAACTGGACAATGATGGCCTTCTGGGAATGAGGGTGAGCTATGAACTGTGTTTTGAAAAAGAAAAGAGAAACTTAGACAATACATTATTGAGAGAAGTAGAACGAGACTATAGGCGTGCCTTCTAGAGCTGATCGAACCTAAAAGTCGTAGGTTAGGACATTAACATACAAAGTAACGGGGAGTCAGTCAGTCAGGCAGTCAGTCAGGGGCTCAGTAAATCAGACTGGCCCTTTGGGTTCAGCAAAAACAAAACACAAATGTCAAACTTTCACTCTCAATGAAAAATCCTTATGTAAAACAACTCAACGAATTTCCAAACGAAACAGGCGATTTGGGGGAAATGGAGGCTACCGTGCCTCTCTCGGTCGCGTTACACACCTCTTTCTGTTCATAATCGATGGCCTCGAACAGCTTTGCCAGTGGATGTTGCTTCCCGTCAACGTCTCTGTACTTGTCCGTGTCGTGATAGCGGAACAATGCCAGGATCTAGAACAAAAAACAAAGACATGACAAAGAAATAAATTAGATGCATGTCTTACTAAAATTTCGGTGAAACGAGGTTTTTGTTTAGTTGGGGGAGGGGTGTTGGTCAATTACTATAGGGCTAGCCTAAAGGTGTGCTAAACTTTCTGTCCATGATTTTAAAGGGCGCACTTCAAAATGAGGCAGTGAAGTTGTGTTGATAAAGTGGTCGAGATCAAATTGGTTTTACCTCTTCCGTCGAGGCGGACTCGCCCAACAATCCCCCGGCAAACACTTCCAACCCGCGCGCCATCTTGACGTACTCGGGCCCGAAGTCCTCCCACGTGTTGCTCAGCGTCTTGAGTTTGGCGCTCATCTGGAAGGCGTGGCCGAAGATGTCTGTCTGGGTGGCCAAGATGTAGGCAGGCTGGGAGATGGCGCGGTAGATGTGGAGGGTAGAGAGGGCCTGGGTCAGGGTCACATCGGCACCGTAGGATAGAGAAGGCTCAGTGATGCTGGAGCCCAGCTCTAACAGAACCTTGAAATCAGATGGAAACACAGTCTCAGAAGAAGCACGCATCGTTGTGATCAAATCAGCAAGTTATCTCCAAGCAGTCCTAAACCTAACAATAAGTATAATCTTGTTGGAATGTTGTTGTGTGACAGTTTGGGAATGCAAAACATCCCATAGCGGTTCAATATGTTTGTGTATATGTATACAGGATTTTGCTTCTTGATTTTCAGTAAGAACGGAAATAAATCAAACACGAAAAACCTTCACCACCTTGACTGCTTCAAAGTTGTTCTTCTGAGCAGCCAGTACCAGAGGCGTTATGACGGGGTGGAAGTCATCGTTGTCAGAGTGACCGTTCAGGATCGATTCCAAGATATCCTGGGTAACAGAGAAAGTTGTGATTAGGTCAAATCACAAGTCAACCGCAATTCAATCAGAACTCAATCACAAGTCAATCGCAAGTCAATCACAAGGCAAGTCAATCACAAGTCAACAACAAGTCAATCACAAGTCAATCACAAGTGAATCACAAGTGAATCACAAGTGAATCATAAGTGAATCACAAGTGAATCACAAGTGAATCACAAGTGGCATATCACCTAAACTAATGTCATTCTACTTGAGCCGGGAAGACTTGTGATTGAACAGGACTGACATGTCACTAATCTGTGATAGAATCGTGACACAAGCATATCTCTGGTAACTTAGATTAAAAAAGGAATGCAGCAAAGAACCTAAATAATTACTGCAAGAGGTGCCTGCATCTATAGTGTCGCACACTTAAAGATGCTAAATTTAGATTATCTTCTTTTTTTCTTGAAGTCTGAAACGTTTGTGAAGTTCCGTTGACTTAATAGGTCTAACACAAGACTGACGCGTGAAGCAGTTATCAATATATCATTTCAATATTCACTGTAGTCGGACACTATTTTCAACAAACCTTGAAATACACAAAAGTGCAATCAAGCTATTGAACTGGAAAGTGTGCCATTGTAAGTGAGATCTACAGACGGACGTGCATGAACCGTTTCGCTGACAGGCCTACGTGCGAGATATTTATAGCAGTGTATAGTTGAGAATAGGAATAGTGATTCAGCTTACTTCTCGTTCTTGAATATAGCAACATATCGACTTAGTTGCTACGCCACATTCCACGTCGATTGCTCGTATGAGAGCATCTCCTAGCGGTATGTCGTACTTGAGTAGAGCATTGATTATGTCTGTAGGTCAGAATGGAAATGATCGAAGATGAAGATATAAGCTAATAGACTTTGATGAATTCAGATTGTCTGTGGTTTCGTTTGTTTTTCGAATCGTAGGTATACTTTTAACGTGAAGTAAAATAAACCTTTAGGGCCTTAACATAAAAAAGTGTTTTGTCCTGAAGGCTTGTGTACTGGAATATGCCTATCAAGATAGCATGAATAATTTGAAAACCCCATGCGATGTTATTCCGCTTTCTGGAGCAAGTCCGAATAAGTTCAGTTAGTTGATTCAACAAAAGGTTGATGTAAATTTGATGACGCACTTTGCAGCTATGCACTAAACATCAAAGTGCCATGGAAGTAGGTCTTATCATCTTATGTCCTCACGAAACTTTAACGTACTGGCTCCAGTGGCGTAGCCACGGGGGGGGGGGGGGGCACACAGCCCCCCCCCCATGCGCATTGTGATAGGTACAGCTATTGGTAACCAGAGATGCGACTGACCTCGATAGGATGACCCCGAAGTTGAAAACGTATCTGAAAGAGCTCATTTGTTGAGGCTTTCTTTATCAACAAAGCAATCATTATTGCTCGCCATCACAAACTGGAATTGTCATGGGCAACCCTTGAGATACACCTACTAATCATTTCAAGGTGCAAGTGGTTACTTCCATTTTTCAATTTAATTAAATCTATTTTATATTTAAGCCAGCCAAGCTAGCTTTATATGACTGAGTTATTTATTTCACTGCTTTGGCAGTCACGGTCAATGATCAGATTATGTGTTCAGACTCAGCCGGCCTTTGCCAATGATTGAAGAAAAAAAACCTCAGGGACAATGAAGGAATCTAGTTCAAGTTTTGCCCTCAACCGAATAAAATATTCCAATTGTAGTAGGAACTCATTTCTTCAACTGTACAAACAGCTAGCGCAGGTAGCCTACCAAACATTAAGTTATCACGAACATATCCCTTGCGCCATTTTTAATGTACATATAGGCCTACCATTGATGAACACATACAAAATTACCATTAAATACTTGCTGGTTTTTCTTACGGCAAAAGCTGCAAACTCAAACAACATTGGAACAAGCAACAAACAAACGAAAAACAACAACAGTAGCGGCAGCTACATCTGAAGAAAAAAAAAACAGTACAACATCAACAGTAAAGATAGCAGTGACAGAGAGTGGCGTATCAAGAGGGAGGGGCAACTTGACCCCTGGCGGGCTTTGGAGGCATTTTTAAAGACGGTATTAAGACGGTTCAGCCGTCGATCAGTAAAGTCTTTATTTTGCCCCCCCCCCCCCCCCCCCGGCATAATAAGCTGGATACGCCACCGGTGACAGAGAAAAAAACAGCAACTTCAACTGCAGCAGCAACTAAAACAGCTGCAGCAGCAAATAGAAATGGCCATAAAATAAATCAAAAAAATATATCAAATCAAATCGAATCTGAAAATCTCACCTATATAGCCATCCGTAATGGCGTCAGCATACAGAGTGAGATTCTCCTCACTCCTCCAGTCCCGCAACCATCCTTCTTCTTTGAACTCCCCCAGTAAATCGTCCAACCTGCGTCCGTTCCCCGTCCCGGCCATCTCGCGCACCTGTTCGTACCTAGCCGCCTCTTCCGAATACTCGGCTTCAACAGGACACGGCGAGGAAACATCCCCGTCAAACGAGGTGACAGCCACCGCAGCAGGTTTGCTGATCGCCGTGCCATTATGCAAGTACAAATCGAATTCCTTCAACAGCCTTTCCAACTGAATTCTCTCATACGGCTCCATGACAGTTTCACTGCGTGTTTACACCAAGAGTCTGGACTTGCCAAATGACAAACTGAAACTGAAGCTCATGGCCCGCTGAGCATCTATGAACTTTTCAGAGTCTTTTCCACGTACGTGAAAATTTTGCTGGCTTCCGAGTACAAAAGCTTCGTGATAATACAGAGGGGGAAAAAATTAGGAAAAAGCCTTTTCCCCGCATGACTGATGAACGTGTCAATGAGGAATTTAAAGTGGTAGACACAGATTTCATTGAGTTCATATTCACATGTAAATGTTTTATTGTTACCATTTGACCTGAATCCAGATTTCTGGGCGATACTCGATCAAGTAAAATAATGTAGGCTACATGTCCTCCCCTCCCCCACTCGGATTACCCTAACCTTGGGGATTGTAACTTTCACAGTGATAATTCCCTACCCTGGGGATTGCTTGTACAAACGTATACATACAATGCGAGTCAAAAATAAAGTGACCGACTTAGAAAACAAATAATAAAAAATAGGCCTATGTGGCTCGCTCCATTTCATAAAAATAACATAGGGATAAAGTATTAAATGTTATTGACTAGTATTTGTGAAAATTTACGTCATTTTCATACAGTTACATATTCCCACGTTATGCCTATTTTAATATAAAAAAATTATTAAAATATCAGCGGTCTAAACCGTCCTACGAGTAAAAAAAAACACCATAATATACAATGAAACATGGCCGTTTTCGCATCTCAGAGAATGAACCAAATCTTGCAAAGGAAACCAGACAAAAATCGACATCAATCTTTTTCAGGGATACAAAAGTTGACTGCATGTTCTTCAAATTCAAATCACAAAATCTAGCCAGTAAAAATGAGTTTCATTATTAACTCAACTGCCTGTGTGTAACCTAAAATCCTCACTCAGCTATAAAAAAAATATGTTCTGTTAGTAAAAATTCTTTGAGTAACTTCTAAAAGCATATGGATCCATTTCAGTAATTCTTCTTTCTTCAGATGAGTGGACCAACATGCTCTTTTGAGACATCATCGTTGGTGCATCAAATTTGATTGCTTTTTAGGAAACAAATCATTAATCCCGGTCGCTTTCTTTATTAAATCATCCTGCTAGAACGATTTTTGTTTGCATTATTACTTAAAAAAGGACGACCAATTAGTATAGGGCTTTTGGCCTTAAAAACGTGGAGAAATAAGATCAGCTCAATGTTTCGGTAACATAAAGACACTGATTGTATATTAATAATAATAATTATTAATAATAATAATTATTATATTATAATGCTTATAATACGCTTTGTACCAAAGGTTTCAAAGCGGTTTCAGTTTGTATATAGCTACTATCTAGACGGAAAGTTGAAACTTACAGATATGTCATCTTTCAACATAATTTTGTCCATGTTAGAAATACTTAATAAAATATTATACCGAGTACATGTATATGTATTCATATTTGTTTTAATGATAATTAGAGGATAATTGATCCTTACTACATAACAGTTCTTTGCTATATAAAATTCAATTCATATTACTTATAATTAGTATAAGTATTGTTAGCGAATTCAAGCACAATAAAAAGGACGACATGAGACAATACATGTACATTGTGAGGAGTCGAAAACACATATTGGCTGACAATACTGGCATATGTAATCTCAATTTGTTAGTTTTATCTTAGGATAAACTATTTGTTAATTATAGCAGAAAGCGGTATAACAAGTATCATATCTTAACAGTTATAAAGGACACAGACCCCACTGTGTGGTATAAACAATTAAAAAACTTTCACACCAAAATACATCACTTCATTCAAAGACAGTATACAAATACGTCTATGGATTTTGGCACAGCCAACAATTGCCGAGGTATATTGCAACAACAACAAAAACCTATCGTCCGCAATGAGATTTTATAATGAGAGTGATTCGATCATCCCGTTTGCCAAAGACGAAAGCGTGGGTTTACAATAGGGTCGAGGAATTACAACTGCCAAATCACTGGTTCTTCTTCAGTATCTTGTTCTTTTGATTTCGTCTCGAGATCCTCTTGAACTTGTATATCTTCAGTCTTCTCGATTTCTCCAATAGCACCTGCCTCTTCTGCTGGATTTGATTCTGGAGTTATTGGCAGATCTATTTCGACGAAGGAAAACCCAGCTTCACTACTTGTCGATATGTCAGGAACCTGCTCTGATCGGTACTCTCTTTCTCTTGTGTCTTGAGACTTGTGTCCAACTCTTGTTCTTGATTTGATTGAACCTCCTGTTTTTTGGTTACTCTACTTGTTTGGCCGGGGCTGTGTCTGGAACTGTTGGCAGATCTGCCGCTTCTGCCTAGTGAAGGTCTTGGGATGGTGGCAAATCTATATCTTCGAAGGGTGATGATCTTAGATCATCCGTGGTAGCATATTTGCTTTGCTCGGACGGTGGTGGTGCTGCCTTTCCAACTTCGACATCAACATCTAGATCTGGAACTGATTCAGCCTGGTGTTTCTGTATCTCGGCTTGTTCGGGCAGGGCTTCTGCCTCTAAAGGCGTTTCCTTGGCTTCCAGGTTTTGCCCTGCATCCTCATCTGTTGTTTTCTCTGGACTTTGTTCCGATACACTTTGTAACTCTGCCTCGGTTCCTTTGAAATGATCAATCACTTCTAAATCTGCCACCGAATCTGGCTCTTCTTTGGGTGCCTCGGCACGTGCGGACTCGGTTTCTGGATCGGGTAGGAAGGCAGGTGCTTCGACTGAAGTGGTAGGCTCTGTCTCAGCGCTTGATCTTTGCTCTTGTTCTACCTTGGGTTCTGGTTCTTCTTTTCCCACTTGTTCCTTTGTATCTAGGGCTGGATCCTCAATCATTTCACGCTGTTGACGCGGAATCTTGACATCCTTTGGTTCTAGAGGCATTTGATCAGATTTAGAATCTACCTGCTGAGCTGGACTTGCCATTTGTTGCTCGCTTGATTCCTTTTGTACCTCGATTTCTTTCTTTGACGTCTCTGGAACTCTCGCCGCTTCAACATCTGCTTCTGGTTCTGCCCGTAACTCTTTTTCTTTCTCTCGTTCTAGAGGGCTAGGATCTTGTTTTTCTCTTCCTGTCTGTGGTTGCTCACTTTCCCTTGTCAAGTTGTCTTCATATTTTCCACCCTGGAAATAATTGAATTGGAACAAATATTACTTCTTATCACAAAAGCACGAGAATAAAATAGACGGGAAAATCTAGACGGAGAATATTTCATAAAATTGATATACATGTACATGTATTTTAGAGTTTCAAGGGAACGTTTTTATTAAGTTACTAGAGTGTGACCAAACATCCTCAAATAAGGCTATACAGTCACAAGAAAGCTTCTGTGAATGTTATTATTTGTGAACTTATGCTCGCACCAATAGATATTTATTTTAGCATACACATTTTTTTCTTTGATCACTGTTCAGGTCTCAAAGACAGCTCATTTAGTGACCAAAATGCTACCAGAGAAAGTAAACATTTTAGCCGTATTATAAGTGTAGTAATGTCAAATAGAATGAATAAGCTTCTGGATTATAAACCAACCGCTGTCAACCCCTCTCCGAGGTCAGTAATTTTCTTCTCGACCACGTTAGCGATCCGTCGGAAGAAACCAAGGCGTTCCTGCTCCGGTTCATCAGGAACCTCTACGGTGGGTGCAGGTATCTGTTGTTTGAGTGTGGCCACCTGGAGTTGCAGTTTGTCCCTCTCTTCCATCACCCTCCCCACATTGTTGATTAGCTCAGCTTTGTCTATTCGAAGGAGTTCAAGCTCGTCCTTCTGGCTGGATTTATCCCTCTCCAGTCCGCTGATGAGATCGCCAAGATGCGCCTCTTGGCGGTCCCTCTTGGCCAATTCAGTGGAGTGACTGGCCATGAGCTGTTGTATCTTGGCCTGGAGGGCGGCGTTCTTGTCCCGTAGGTCTTCAGCCTCCTGGTCCCTGTCAGTAATCTCCGTCGTCTGTTCCTCTCTCAACCCGTCTACCTCTCGGGACAGCTCGTCGATGTTCTCGGTCAGCTGGATAGCCTCGTTGACCACCTCGATACTCAAGCCTTTCAGCGGGTCCAAGTCATCCAGCTTTCGGCGCAACTCGGACGACTTTTCGTTGGACAGGATGAGATTATTTTGGAGTGCCTCCAAGCGGTCTTGGGCAAAGAACCTGAATGGTGAAGGACATCAGGCGTCAACTGGTCTATCTGAAACCCTCTGACACTTCAGTTTCTCAAAAGACTATACGGTAGTTTTACCAAAAAAGGAGAGCACAAATCCTTTCAAATTTCGTAGGGTAATTAACATGGAACAGCTGTTTAACACGTTGTTGGGAAGTGAGTATAAAAGGCATCAATGATTGGTCACTGTAGTTTAATAATAAGTCTATCACGTGGTGTAAAGTTGCCAGGTTACCTGAATGAAGTGACGTCATTCCTCAGTGATTGTACATCACGTGTTCGTGCTGCTTCGGAGTTCGTGGAGGTCGATGACAAGTGATCCTGAACGTAGCGGTCACGTGTCAGTTTCAAGGCCCGCTACACGTGGGCGAGAAAGGAAACCATATAAACTCACCATTGATAAACGTTCTTTTTCTTTATCCCTGTTACCACACTACATTACAATAGACTTTATCTAAAGCCCATATTAGATTGAAAACGATTTAAACTCTTCAAGTTCTGGAACTGGCGAGTTGAAAGAAAAACTAAGAATTCAGGTCATTATAATTGAAAATTTGCAATAAAACATACCCTATTATTTGTGGCTAATTTTGAAAAATTGGAAGCGACGCTTGGAACGCACTCCAAAATAGTCTGGCACTATCCCAATCATCAGTTACAACTTATGAAACGGATTCAGGGAACACCATCGAAAGTAGCTTCCTCGTGAATAAGGTTTATGTATATTCTGATACAGGCCTTTCTTTCAGCATTGGCGCCATTTTATATGGGCCGCCGCAAGCGCACAAATGGCTGGCATCATATTTTCCCAAAAATTCCTCATAATGCCCTCAATACATAGTAAAAAGGCATGTGTAGGAATTGTGCTGTAGCTTTTTTGGCAATGTTGTAATTCAAACA